CTACTGCTGTTCAGCGGGACCCCTGCAGCAACAGGGCAGCCGCCTCGGCTCCCGGGGCAGAGCTCCAGGCCCAGAGCCAGGTAGCTGCTTTCAAATGGAGCCAACTCCAGCCTTTCCTGTGGCATCATGGGCTTGCAGCTGGGCACCAGCAGCGCCTGGGAGGCCGGGAGATACCTGTGTGCTTTCCCACGCAGGAGAATCCCGCCCAGCCCCACCCATTCGACGAGTCAGGCTGAATTCTCCGGGGGACGCTCTCCTGCAGCTCAGATCCCGGGGGACAAAGCACGCCCCCAACACCGGCTGACCCTTCACTTCTATCTCTGACGGAGCAGCTGCTGTCGGCCAGACGCAGCCACCCTTCACACCGTTTCCATAGCGAGCCAGCCCCACGGGCTCCAGGGCAACACAGGAGGAAGGGGACAGCAGCCTGGGGAGAGGTGAACGGGCACTTCTATCCTGCCCCACTGGTCTCCAGCCAGAGCCGCATCGATCAAAGGAAGAGACTGAACAGCAGGGGCAGCAAATGGCCGTCTGGCAGAGAGCCGCCTCGCACCCGCAGGGGAACCGTTTCCATAGCGAGCCAGCCCCACGGGCTCCAGGGCAACACAGGAGGAAGGGGACAGCAGCCTGGGGAGAGGTGAACGGGCACTTCTATCCTGCCCCACTGGTCTCCAGCCAGAGCCGCATCGATCAAAGGAAGAGACTGAACAGCAGGGGCAGCAAATGGCCGTCTGGCAGAGAGCCGCCTCGCACCCGCAGGGGACGGCCCCCTATTGCCTGCACCGCACCCCTGAGCATCTGCCACCTGAGTGCGCCACAGGCCTGTTGAGAACCCTGACCCAGAACCCAGCCTGCAGCTGGGGCCTGCCAGCCTGTGGCCTTCCCTGCTTTGCTCCCAGGGACGAGGTGGCCGCGTGCAGCTCCCCCCGCTCCCCCACTCCCATCATGGCACCAAGCAGCCAGGCTCCCTTCAGAAGGCTGCCTTCGGGGGCCGTGTCCCCAGCCAACCTCCCTGCTCCCACTGGCCACAGCACAGCACAATCCGGCTGCTGCCGCTCACCACCAGCCCAAGGGACTGGCAGGCTGGGTTACAGCCCGTGGGTGAGAGGCGTCAGGTTGGCCAGACTGGGGAAGGCGAGCAAAGGCTTCGTTAATTCCCAGGAAGAGACAATACCCACGCGAGTCACAGCGGGCGTCTAAGCAGCGTCTCCAGCCCCGAGACAGACGAGCACTTGGGAATCCACTCGGCCTGCCCCTCAGCAGCTTACGGCCACGCCTGCCTGTCTTGAGAAGCGGGTCCGCAGGGCTCCTTCCCAGAACTCACTCTGCTCAAGATGGACGGAGCCAAAGCAGGGCAGGGAAGACTCAATGAGCAGCAAAGCACAAGTGCTGAGGCCACTCTCCAGTCGCTACCGCCTAGTAGCCCATTGGTCCATGCCAAGCCCCTGGGAACCCGTTTGGACGCCCGCTGCTGCAACCCGCCACGATGAGATTTGCATCCGAATTTAGCAGGTGATTCCATTCTCCAGGTTAACTGTCACAGCCACTGCCCGGCCAGGTGCTGGAGGCAACGTCCCAACACAGCGAGGGTGAGTGCAGTCACTAGTGCAGAGTCCAGCCGCAGCCAACTGCCCCGCTCAGAACACACCCTCCTCTGTA